ACACGGCCGGGTTGAAGTTCGCACCTGAGATGCCTCCCATTGCATAGATGGAAATCATGAGGACAAAGGCGATTGACACGCCACCCCACGTCCCATTGCCGCCTAAGACATTGCATCCGACCGTAAGCACCAGCAGGAACGTGCCAACAAACTCGGAAAGAAGCTTCGCGGTCAATGAAGGGGCCGCCATGGCTAGGGGTGTGTGCTGCTTCACTGGGTCGGGAACAGCAGCGCTGCTGTTTTGCTTGGGCCCGAACCGAGTTTGGTATCAGAAGTCCATGATGCAGCGCTGCAGGCTTAGCCAGTTCCCGGACACAGCCCTCGTCACAGAAGAGGCGCTCTGCACGAAGCACTCTCCAAAGTCTCTCTCCCACATACACACACAACCAAGCAACCAAGCAACCAACCAAGCAAGCAAGCAAGCAACCAAGCAACCAAGCAAACAAACTGCAGTAAACTATTAAAAAAAGAAAGCAACACACACAAACACACATGCTCAGGCAAAGGCACCGCACACAAGCGTTCGGACCGAACAGCACCCCATGAGAGCTGCAAGTATCTCGAGCACGCTGAAAAGAACTACTCCCTCGGCAGACAGAAACAAAGCTTCGGCAGCAGCGCCTGTAGAAACAGTGCCAACTCCGCTCCCGTCGCTCCCGGTGGAGGTGCGACACCAAGCTGTCGGCAGCGTCGATAGAGCCTGAGAGGCTTTCAAGGTTGAGATGTCTGTGGAGCGGATTTGCCCTTCTGAACTCAGCATTCCAGATGTGAGGTGCAGGCGCGTCAGAATATGTTCGGGGATCGAGTTCCAGGCCAGTGGCTGGAAAGGCTGCAGGGGTCTGGAGCTCTGACTGAAGGCGCAGTTGTGCAACAGCTAGTGCCTTTAATCATCTTCGCATTTGCGCAGCAGTCGAGGACTTGGGCTCTAGCAGGGAAACCGAGATTTGCGGTTGGGGGTTTGTGGTCTTGGCGGTGGAGCTTCGTGCCTCAGAGGCTGGCTGAAAGCTGCATTTATCCTACGGAAACGTCATGACACTCCAGACAGCTACATGGAGGTCAGCTCGGCTGTCCTTTCGAAAAACTTCGGATTATGAAGCCTGGGGGCCGCAGAAAGTCTGACACAGAGTGGCAGGATGCGCCAGGGTAGCTCAAACTGTTGGTTTATGGTCTTGTGTGGGGCTTGGTACATATGCACTCAAGGAAGACCTGGCACCTCAAGAGCCGGGCAGCAGCACTTGCAAAATCCACGAAGATCTACAGGCTTGCAGGCAAGGAACTCTTCTCGCAAGCTTGGCTCCGTTGCGATTTTCAGATGCCTTGGCTTGACGTTGAGAACACTGCACCATGAACAAGAGCGGAAAATGCGAAGGCGGAGGACACCATCTATACTGACTATACTATGTTCGAGGCTCAGGACACAACAAGCACAAACCATTTCTTGTTCACGCTGCTGAAACGGCGACGACGACCACGACCCACGGACCAACACAAAGGACCACGGCCACGACCACCAAAACATAAACTGATTACGGCCCACAACTGGGTACGCAAAAGTGATATCCGGCAGATTGCCGTCTCGGGCAGGGGGCAGGACACGAAAGCATGGAGGGTCTTTACGTGAGCACAAGATCTCGACAAATCCCTCACCTCTAAGGGCAGAACTCTTTCCAGTCGTTGGCAGTCTTCTCCTGAGGTTTGCCTCTCAATGAAGCCCAAGTCATACTTGGGGCAAAATGTGACCGTCGCAGTGCTGGCAACTGACTCAGCGAGCACATGCTCCCAAGCCCACAACATTGACAAACATGTCGTACCGCGAAGCTAGCTACTCAACGATCGAGACATGACTGATCTTCACGTGGGCGTTAGAATTACCGGGCCCTGTCTGACGGAGCCCGTAAGACTGGCTAATTCGCCAGCTCGAAGTCTGCTTTTAAGGCCATACCTGTGGAGCCCCTCAGAACCGCATGTCACAGCCTCCGTAAGCAGGAGGAACTGCTTCGTTTGACATCTCGAGCGACCTGCTGCGAGCGCGGCTTTTGGTTTGGTCCTTCTGGGTCTTGGGTCCTTCTTACGCAGTTCTCACATGTTGAAAAAACATGTCGTGCGCTCACGGCATTGATTGGCACAAGGCTGGTCAATCGCCAACAAGGACACAAGGCCTCTCCCGTCCTTCGCCACCTTCGCATGGGCTCGCAGGGTTCGGAATGCCGCACACTGTTTCCGGGTTTGGGTTCAACCTTCGATCCATGATGCATGCTGCGGTTCTTTCATGCTCCCGACGAGCAAGGATGTAATTCGGGAGGCCATGGCCTTCCGGACTAAGATCTGACCAGTCTGACAGCTGGCCCGGGAGCACCTGCACCGGAGCCCAACATCGGCTCAGGGCTTGGAGATTTAAGGCTTCTTCGTTTTGCGGGGGATGCAGGGTTCAGTGGTGAACCATGTGTGTGTCTGCGGTTCCCTCTCCCGAAACAGTCCCGAAACCGTAAAAAAAACCTTGTCACGGATGAATGGCGCCTGTTCAGAACCTTTTCGTCCCTTGCGCCGTTTGCGAGGCTCATTGGCCTTGCATTTCCCATCGGCGCAGTCGGACCTGCCGACAAAGGGCGAGAGCGATAAACAGAGAGGCACACACTAGGCAGACGGAGCGCAACGCTAGAGAAAGGCATGCAAAGAGAGAACGAGAGAGAAGGAAAAACTTCGAGACAGCAAAGAAAGTAATATAGTAATATAGAACAGAGAGAGAGAGAGAGAGAGAGAGAGAGAGAGAGAGAGAGAGAGAGAGAGAGAGAGAGAGAGACGAGAGAGAAGAGAGAAAGAGAGAGAGAGAGAGAGCGAGAGGGAGGGAGGGAGGGAGCGAGGGAGGGAGGGAGAGAGGGGAGAGAGAGGAAGGGAGAGAGAGAGGGAGAGCGAGAGGGAGGGAGACAGAGGGAGAGAGTAAACAAAAACAAGCGGAAGCAGAACCAGAAAAGTATGATGAGTGAGTGATTAGTGACAAACCTGCCGGTGGGATTTACATGCTTCTGCACGTAGATAGCTCAAAATAACTTGCCACCAAATTTAACTTTCAGGCAGTACACAACAAAACCCCTGAGGAAGCAAGTAAACCACATAGACAATTACCTCAATGACCGATCAGCCACATCGCCCGCCTCGGCACAACACCAGCAGCGTCACACAGCGCTTGGAGCGTTGCTGGCACAAACCGTTTCTGGCCGCTGGTCTCCAAAGCCCTGCACGAAACAGGCCGGACCGTCCAAGTCCGCAATTGAAAACTTAGTGGCAAACGAGCGGCTGATTCACCGATTTGCTTTGGAGTGCCACCATCAATTCCGGAATGCTGCTAATGCCTCAGGGGATCACGAAAACATGGCGGCGTACGTGAGGCCCTCAGGCGTATTCGGCATATTGCCAAAAAGTATTGCGAGAAATGCATAACACCTACTGATCTCTCATGTCCGGGCAGGAGGCCAATACGCCCCAACTTCGCTTCGACCGCCGCAATGTCCTGGAAGTGCAATACTGCCATCTACCGATCAAGCAACACAGCTCGGTGCATGCAGCGCCCTCCCCTCACCCCCCCCTCCCGGGTATCCTTGCAGCACCAGTTCGGGCGTGCCGACTGCAATAAAGCACGTAGGCGTTGTTCCGACGTTCCCGCCATCGGTTTGGACAAAGAGCAACTTGTGGCCCATGAAGATTATCGAAACGGCGATGGTAGCAACTAGCAGTCAGCATGAAAAAATCGACTATGCCGACTATCCCGATGCTGTTTGCCAGCGGCAGCTGCAAAAGACCAAAGCATGAGGCAAACTGCCGCTGTTCCCATGTTGTCTTGCCATGCAATGCACATGTATGAACGACACCATTAAGCCGAGCCTGCAAGCAAGCGGCGTACAAAGTAACCAGGATCAGCAACACACGATTGCTGGCTTTCTGCCGTCACGTCAACATCCAAAGCTTCTTATTCTTGGGCCAAGCTTTGTACTTGAGAAGCATACGTTGCTACAATGTCCCTTTCTCTTGGCACTGTTCTTGACAAATGCACAGGCTTACTCTGTGTCAATGCATTATGGACATGCCAGCTGTCTTCGATGCATACACACCCTGACTGAAGCGTTTGGAAACGTTTCGAAGGTCAGTACTTTCGCCATGATGAACCTTTGCAGGAGCCATGCATCTGCGGTCGCTCCCCCACGGCATCCGATGTGGTGTTGAGCTTTCGCTATCGCACCCGCGCATTCAAGATGAACCTGCTGTTTTCTCACTAGCTTACTGGACCTACTTGTTCACGGAACCATGAATTGAAGAGCTAAAGGGTGAGTTCGCCGGACAAGCACTTCTCTTCCACATCCCAAGCGAGCATGTATCTCACCATTGGTAATTAACTATGAACACGCACACGCAAGGCAAGGACGAAGAGCCTATCGGAATGATTTCTTAACCACGTTGAAAACGAGACATCTTAACCACGCGCATATTTTTTCTAACCGCCCGCAGGTCTTGGTCTTTAACCGCGCGCATCCATCCAGCGACGAAGGAGCCAGGCTCCTTCGTTCGAAAACGGTTCCGGGTTTAGGGCCAGACAACGGGCACGCAAAGCAAACCGTCCTGATGACGAATCTCAACTGCCCCTTGTCGTCAAAGAGCTTCTCGTCATAAGTCCTGGCGTCCCACAATCCAACCGGCAATGTGTGTTGTGGCTCCAACCGCAGGTCTGGTTTTTCAAAGCTGCAAGCAGCTGTGTGCGCCAAGTCACTGCAGGATTACAGTGGACAAGGCTTGGTTGACCGAGACGACACGTTTTCTCTCCATCTCTTGATTTTTTACCTTTAATGTACATATATGTACGCACGCCATCCCAATAGCTAGAATCCACGCGGAACAAAAATCGACTCGGGATCTCGACGTCTCTACGAAGCAGAATGCCTTTGGCAGTCTGCAGGGGAACCACAGTCCCACTGGTCTCTAAGAATCTAGAAGTCAGAGCGCCTTTGGAATCAAGAAGGGAGTTCCACAATCCAATTGGTGGGATCCCATCGCTCCCCGCTCTTCTTGCGGATGTGCAACCGCTGGCTTTTGGCCAAACTCTCCAGGGCCTCCCTTATGTGTCTGTGCGCACCAGATGCGCCCCGCTCTGTAAGGGCCGATCCCAGGAACCTTTTTGAGGTCCTGCATGATGCCTGATTTCGCACGCCATTCTGGCCCCCGCTTCATTGCCGGCTTTGCCGGGTTGGCGGGTACAGTGTCCAGGAGGCGCTGCCACGCGGCCTTGACATTGACACCGAGCAGCCTTCGCTTCAAGACTGCTCCGGCCTGCACGGTGTCATCCACAAGTGCCGCTGGATTACCCCGGTGGCGCCGTCTAATCTCCAGGATCTTCTCGTGCAGGTCGTCCGAGTCTGTCGCCGCACCCGTCCCCAACAGAAGCTCCGCAGCTGCCTGGGTCCCCAATGTGGACAACAGCACGAGGTTGTAAAAAGCGCCCTGTTTGTTGGCCACAACAACGGCCTTCGTCGCACGACTCGTCGCTGCCGATGCCAAGCAGACGAAAGCACACCCCATGCCCGACACCACGCTTTCGCAGGTAGCTTGTGCCCGAAGCTCCTTTCCACGGGCCCGCAGCGACCGCAGCTCCTCGGGCACCACGTCCCCAACATCCAGAAGGGCACGGAGAACAAGGCAGCGCGCAAGAAAGTCCAGCTGCTGTCCGATCTCGTTCTGGAGGCACCAGTATGCACATGGCTGCCGGGCCGCAAGCATGTTTCCAACCAGGGGAAGGGGGCAGGTGCGCGGGCAGGGGCACGGGAGAAAGGGTTTCCAAAAGAAAAGTAGCTTTTCGGACTTGAGTCTGTAGAAACACAGCGGGAGTTCCGTCTACTCCTACGCGTCGGGTTCGGTTCCAGGAGAGGCTCAGGGTCACAGGCGCTGGACAATTCTAGGTTTGGGGAACCTCGTCGCCCGCATTGGGTTTTGCCGGACACTATCCGCAACGGGACAAAACGCAAACATGTGACCGCTTACTTGCGGCCGCTGCAATATGAACCTGTAGTCCCGGGGGTTTCTGTGGTTGCTGGAAGCCAGTGTGACTACAAGGTCTTCCTTGTCCATCCGCGACTCCAGCCTCACATGACTAAAACCCCGTAATGAAAGCACGATGTCCCTCAGCGACCCTAAAACCCCAAACGCCACACGGCCCCGAACCTGACACTAAACTGAAATGCGAGGTCTCCTTGACAAGGTCGGCCTGCACCATTGGGAGCAGATGCTCGTGGTCTGCGAGTCCTCGGAGTGCTGGAGAAGGTCTGGGAAGCGTGGGGTTTTGGCTTGCAGGCTCTAAGGGCGTCAGGGCAGCGGGTTCAGGTTGGAGGTCTTAAGTTTCAGGATGTCGATGGAAGTCGCGGCTCGGGGCTTTCGTGGAAAAGCAGCTGTAGGAGGACACTGGAAATGCTAACCTGAAATGTGGCGTCTTGTCCTGATGCTGCCAAGGCATCCGGCACACTGGGGCGGGGGTCTAGGGCTACGTTCTGAACTCTATCGCTGCTTGCGCACTGGCGTGGGCAACACACTCTGGATTACCCAGAAAGGTCCTGGTACCACTTCCCCTGGGCCCAGATGCAGGCACACGGCAGGCGGTATCCTGAAGCAAATCCCTTCTCCTGGCCCGGGAGAAGGGGTTTGCTTTTAGGCCACGGGTCCATGCCGCGATGCCTTCCCATGTGACTTGTCGTAGCTCTCTTTTCAGGTTTTCGAGGTGAGACACACGTCAGGTGCTAGAGGTTTTACCGCGCAAAGTTCTGCACTGAAACACGATGCCCCAAACTGACCACCGACACGGAACGGAACCCGAAACCTGACACCCTCGACTGAGTTGGGGCGCCTCGTGACGGCCCGAAGACCGCGGGCACGAATCGGCAGCAGATGCCTGCGGTCGGAGTGTCCTCGGAGTGCGGGGGGCTTTTGCTCCGAGGTTTGAGCGTCGTTACTCACGCACGGATTCCCCGGGGGGTCCGAACCTCGATTGTGGCAAAACCCCGGCCGACTGAGTAGCAAGACATTCAGGGAAGTCCCGGAGACGTGCTTTGCCGCATGCCTCGCGCCCCAGAGGGTCTTCACACACACCACGAAATGCTGTGAATCCGAACAAACCGTTGCAGCACCTCATCCCGGACGTCAGCCCTGAAAAGCACGGTCCTGCAGTCCAGCAGCACACAGACTCCAGAGACGGCAAGCGGTTTGGCGGACCTTCGGAAAGCGGCACGTGAGACCGGCTTCGGATTGGGGTGTGGCCCGTGGAGTTGGGGTGGCTTTTGGGCTTCTGTGCTATGGGTGCCTTATGCCCGTGCCTTATGCCCTGGACCTCGAGAGTACCTCCTTGCAGTGACCCTATGCGCCCCACAGCTCTTCGTGCACCCCAACAGCAACGACAGCAACCCCGCACTCCCTGACCCCCGACAGTAACCACGAAAGTATCCCGGACAGCTACTGCAGTGCCAGCTTCCTTGACCAGAACCCCATCGACACGTGCCTAAATCGAACCGTGTCGCAATCCGATCAAATCCCGAGCCAATCAAAGCGAAACCCCGCTCGAGCCCTGCCAGCGCTTCCGGCGATACGCAGCGAGCGGAGCATGCGGTGGTCAGCCTGCGGCGGTTAAGGTTTAGGGGTTTTAAGTCTCTCCTTTTTGGGGACTCCTGCTCTGTTACGTTGTTGGGTGTGCATCTGCTTTGAGGTTCGGGATGCTGTTTCGTAGTTCGGGGTCGGGGTTTCGGGGTCCGCGGCTTCCGGCCGACAGCCTACGCCCAACCTTCAGCTCCAAAGAGGGTCTGTCACCAGGAACCATCAACACGAACCTCGAGGATCTGCTGCGGTTACTTGCATCCTGTCGCTTGAGTTGTTCGCAGGACAATGGAGAGGGTAGACGACACAAATTACACACAGGTCCGGGTACCACTCCCTCTGGGGCCCAGACCACCTGGCCAGAAAGATCCGGGTACCACTTCCCCTGGGTTTTCTGCATTGCTTCCTGTTCCTGTGGCTTGGGTTGTTCGCCTTGTAGGCTGTCTATGTCCTGGTACAGATGGTCACAGCACCGCGCCGAAACCCTACGCCAACCAACCCGGAGTGTTGTTAGCCAGCTCCGGACACAACCCAAAAAGGGGCCCGCATTCTGCTTCAAAGCAACCCCCCTCTCCCGGGCCGGGAGAGGGGGGTTGCTTTTGGGCTGTTCCAGAGCTCGTTGCGGCGGCAGCTCCATCGGCGGAGTCGACGGAGCCGAGAAACTCCTCGCCGCCTGGTGGCAGGAATGACACCGTCAAGTCACATCAACGAATGACACCGGCAAGTCACATCAACGCTCAGAAGATGTCACACGAAAGAAGTCTGGGCGATGCGGCAGACAGAGCGCACAAGCCTTTTCGAACACCATGCCCTGGCTTCTTGCTGAGCTCGCGCCGACAGCTCCCAGAACCCGGCAACCCAACCAGACAAGACTCATAAGACGTAGTGATACAAGCTTGTGAAGTCTAAAACTTCTCACAAGCTCTGCGAACCTAGCGCACCGACCCAAGAAACCCGAAGCCTGAGACACCAACTTGGGGTTTAGGGCAAAGCTCGTTGAACGAAGCCCCATCTGACCCGAGCAGCCTGGCAGCCAACAGGCCAGGAGCGTCTGTCGAGGTCCTGTCGTTGACGTCTGTCGAGGTCCTGTCGTTGAAAGGGTTCGCGATTGTCACTGTTTATGGGTTCAGAGCATGTCGTCAAGGTCTCATGCAAGTTATTGAAACTCTACCGGAACGGCACTTGTTCAGCGCCGAACATAACAATGACAACAACCAACGGCCGAACAAACGTGTGTTCTTGTCAGCACGCTTTGTTTGCTCCACATCCGGGGCCATCCATCCGGCAAGCAGCTCCAGATTCATCCATCCTCAGTCGTCGGACATTGTCCTCACAGCCTTCATGCCAGTCTTGGTCTTCATGGCCTTCATCGCCTTCAGTGCCTTCATCGCCTTCATCGCCGCCGGGCGCTTGTGCGGCTTCTTCTTGGTCTTCATCGACTTCACTGTCACGGCCTTCTTGGTCTTCGTCGCCTTCATGGCCTTCATCGCATTGTTAGGCTTCTTCGCGGCGGGCGGCGTCCATACCCACTTCTCTATCACTACTTTGCCCCTCCGTTTGAAGCCGTCCCACTGCGTGCTCCACGTCTTGAGCCACGTCTCACCTGTTGTACTTGCCCTGCGGCCCATTTCTGGCAAAGGCTTAGGACCTTTACTGAGGTTGCTGCCTAGGCTTAGCTGCACCTGGCGCCAAATGCCAGCAGCAGTCGTGGACATTTTCCAAATAGTGCCGACGAGCAAAACAGCAAACGGCGCAAAACAGAAAACAACGGCACTCAGCGCCGAACATGAAGTCTGTAGAAAACGGCACGTGTTCAGCGCCGAACAAGACAATTTATAAGAGCGGCACTTGCTCAGCGCCGACTATCAAGCAGCAAAATCAAATAAAATCGACACACACACACACAGTTGCCCTGAAAGCACCCTCCCTCTATTGAACCCGCTGCCTGAGCCCTCCCGCTCCCTGTCGGAATCCTCTTCGCAGGCATCAACGACGTGTGGATGAAGCGTGGCCTCTCCCTTGTGTGCATGACAACTTGTGCGCGATTCATCTGAGTCTGGAACACTTGTGAGGTTGCTAACTGTAACCTGGCCTCGTCGATCATATTCTCTGGGTGGCTGTGCAGCACGCAACCGCATTGGCATGTCATGCAAATCCCTGTATTTTAACATGAACTGCAAACCCAAGCCGAGGAATCATGGGCCTGCGTGCTGAGCTGAACTAGTGATGTGCAGCCCTGGCAGCACGACCATGAAAAGAACTATCATGTGCTTCTCTTGCCAATTGCTCGTGCTTCACATAGTGGAGTGGAAGTCGCAATCGCGGAGATACCACGCCGCTTGGGCGGGATACGACGCGGCTTGCGGGGGATACGACGCGGCGTGGGGGGGATACGACGCGACCTGGCGGAGATACCACGCCGCTTGGGCGGGATACGACGCGGCTTGCGCGGGATACGACGCGGCTTGCGGGGGATACGACGCGGCGTGGGGGGGATACCACGCGGCTTGCGGGGGATACGACGCGGCGTGGGGGGGATACGACGCGACCTGGCGGAGATACCACGCCGCTTGGGCGGGATACGACGCGGCTTGCGGGGGATACGACGCGGCGTGGGGGGGATACGACGCGGCCTGGCGCAGATACCACGCAGCTTGGGGGGGATGCGACGCGGAGGGTGGGGGGGATACGACGCGGCATTGGCGGAGACACGACGCTTGGTTTACAGGGCTTATATATAGGGTTTCGGCGCTCACACTCGGACAATTGGGTTTCGGCATCCAGCCGAGGCATGTGGTCTTAGGTCGGAATAGTGAGATTGGGTTTAGGGGATACGACCAGCTTTGACCAGAGGCTGTGACACAAAGGTCCGTCTAAGCATCTTGAAGCATTTTTTGCAGCCTCCTCCCGTCAAGCACCTAAGCAGCCTGTTGAAGCATCGTCTCAGAGCCACGAGTGTGCCCCCACCAGCCGCGAACCGCTCAGCGGCAGCATGAATCCTCATATAAGCTTCGCAGCGGCAGTATAGGAGTCATTATGAGCCGCTGTATAAGCCGCCCATCATTTTTGCAACATCATGTCGGCATCTGTGTTGTAACATTTCCGGAAGAGCTCTTCTGCGGCTGTTCCGTCGCTGAATCGAC